ACCTATTTAAAAAAAAAAAATTTTTGAAGGCAACTAAGAAAAAGTAAAAAAAATAATTAAAAAAACCAAAAAATACGAGCCGGCTCGGCCCGGGCTTGGCTAGGGCCAAAAGCTCGGACCGAACCTCTTTTTTTTTTGGTCGGGCTCGACTCAGCTCGGGCTCGACTCGATTCGTTGACATCGCTACACGAGTCACATACGGGTTGCCCCATATGTGGACTCGTGTGGCCTACAAACTAGCTTTGGCTCGAGCCAAATCTTATTTTTGAGGTTGGCTCGAGCCGGCTCGTACAAACAAGCTCCAAGCTTGGCTCGAATTTTTCCAGTCGAGTCAGAGCTGTTCGAGTTGATGAGCTCGTTTGCTACTACTGGTGATGTTGATAGTTAGATCCAACGCTATTTGATAATATGGCTTCCTCTTTGTAATTTTCATGCTTATATGTTTTTAATGAAAATAATAAGATCATAATTCTTTTTTCAAGAAACAACAATCAGGACTATCTGTACATCAAAATTAAAATGTTGAATACCGAGATGCTCTTTTTATTAAAGTTGATGACCAAAGTGCAATAAAAGTTAAAAAAAAAATTGATTTCTCTACTACTATTTTATTTTTCCATCAATAATTGTACACTATCATGTGACGATTTGCCCTAGAGTTGGGACCCACTTTGGTCCCCAAAAGCCACGTGAAGAATATTTTTAAAAATTATATTCGGGACCCACAAGATTAATCAAGGTTGGGGTTTTGGAATCATGTGTCTTATAACATACTCAATGCACAATGTCCGTTCTTAATTTCTATCAATCACTTGTACCTCAGACTAAAACAAAACCTTTGAATCCTCGGATTCTATATTTTGCTTTAATGTCCTCATTTTTATGGGGAAAAAAAAAAAAAAACAACAAGAAAAATGAATTAATATAGTAAATTATTTACAAAGAATTTTGTTACTTTACTATCATTACACTCACTCTCGATGTTTGCGAAACTTTGATTGCTTCGTTCGACTAAGTAACAAAAATCACTAAACTTGAAGATATTTAGAGCAAAGAAATTAACAAAAATCAAGTAGGTCAGTTTCTAGTCCCAATCGTATGAGGGACAAATTTAAAATAAATAATAAATGGATAATCATAGGTTTAATATTTATAGATAGAATATAATATGAAGAATGTAAAAAAATTACGCTAGTTTAATATTTATTAATAAACATTTAAATGTTAAAAGTGTTTATATTAAATTCACAATAATGGTTACATACATTTTGATAATATCGTTGACTAATTATGTATATTTTTAATATTACTTTTTAATTTTATAAATATAAATTAAATTGAAAAACATAAAATTAAAATTTAATAGGTTTCGGGATTTTGGAATGGGTTATTTAGTCCCCATCCCATTTTCATTCGAGATGGGACTGGGGATTTTGTCATTTCTGTTTTGTAAATTTTGATAATGTTATAGATGAAATGATCAATATGAAACAAAAAATTAACTTGAAGTTTGGGGACTTCAGTTTAAATTTCTTGCAACTTTATTCTTGTTATATTAGGTAAATAAAAACATTTTTCAAATAGATTTTTTCACATTTTTCAGACCACAACAATTTTCTGAATAGAGAAACCTTAAAATTGACTAAAGATAAAGATGAGCTTTCTCGTGAATTGCATCTGAAACCTTTAACCTAACCATGGTTACTTTTTGACCTCCATTAAACCATTAACTAAACCTCATGCAAAAAACAGCATTTGGGATTCAGGGGAAACAAAATTTAGAGCAAACGAAGGAAAAACCTCCAAACGTCCCAACATCTTCTCTGAGTCTGGTCCCGCTCCCTCTCCCTCCAAAAAGGGAAAAAAAAAAAAAAATAGCTACTACTGAATCGTCACTTTCTTGGAGAATCTGTGATTTTAGAGACTCAAAGATTGGTGGGTTTTTTTTTTTTGTTCAATTTGCGTTCTTTATCATTTGTTTCAATTCATTTGAAATTTATATATATATAGGTACATATTTTTTATGATTTTTTTAATGCCTGTTTTTGTAGATTTATGGCTTTCGGGATCTGAAACTAAAGGTACTACCAATTGGGTATTTGCGAAAAAAATCATTTTTTTCAAGAGGGAACATGTGTTTTTTTTGGATTGATTTGTGATTCAAACTTGTAATAAAAGATTGGGTTCCGTTGTCTTGTTGTCGTGTAACTGTGTATTTAAGGTTGCCTGTCTGTTTGGCTTGTGTTCGAAGTTGAGAGATGGGGGGAATTTTGTGGAATGATGAGGATAAGGCTATGGTGGCTGCGGTTTTTGGAACTAAGGCTTTTGATTACTTGATGTCAAGGTCGGTTTTGGCCGAATGTTCATTAATGGCAATGGGAAATGATGAGAATTTACAGAATAAGCTTTCAGATCTCGTGGAGCATCCTAATGCAACCAGTTTTAGTTGGAATTATGCAATTTTCTGGCAACTTTCGCGATCCAAGTCCGGTGACTTGGTCCTAGGATGGGGGGACGGGTGTTGTCGAGAGCCTCGTGAAGGTGAACAGTCTGAAGGAACTCGGATTTTGAATTTTAGACTCGAGGATGAGACTCAGCAAAGGATGAGGAAAAGAGTTCTTCAGAAGTTACATACTCTGTTTGGGGGAACTGAGGAAGATAATTATGCTTTTGGACTGGATAAGGTTACGGATACTGAAATCTTCTTCCTTGCGTCCATGTACTTTTCTTTCCCTCGGGGAGAAGGTGGCCCGGGGAAGTGTTTTGGATCTGGAAAACATGTTTGGTTATTGGATGCATTGAAGTCCTCGTTTGATTACTGCGTAAGGTCGTTCCTTGCAAATTCTGCTGGTATGCGAACAATTGTTTTGGTTCCGACTGACGTTGGAGTGGTGGAATTAGGATCTATGAGACCGGTTCCAGAAAGCTTGGAACTTGTGCAGATGATAAGATCTTCCTTTTCTTCACCTTCGTCACTTATCAGGACAAATCAAGCTGTGGCTCTGCCGGTGGGAATTGATAGAAAAGATGGAGATGGCCCAAGTTCTAATGTGGTAATTGGTAGTCGCCCAGGAGTAGTGCCTAAGATTTTTGGTCAGGATATGAATTCCGGTTCTGTGCAGTTCAGGGAAAAGCTTGCTAGTAGAAAATTAGATGATAGGCCATGTGACGTATACGCAAGTGGGAATAGGCTGCCATTCGCACATGCTAGGAGCGGCTTTCATGGTTCAACTTGGACACAATTGGGTAATGTAAAGCCAGGGAATCCGGTAGAAATTTACAGTGCTCAGACTGCATCAAAAAACCAGCACGAGCTTATTAGCAGGGCAAAGGAAGAGTTTCAACTTAGCAGTTTTCAGCATCAAAAGCCAGGGCAAATGCAGATTGATTTTACAGGAGCAACTTCGAGACCTATAACTTCCCGACCTCTTAATGTCGATTCTCATCGTTTAGATGCTGAGGTTTCTTGCAATGAAGATCTCCCTGATGAGAGGAGGCCTCGAAAGCGTGGTAGGAAGCCTGCCAATGGAAGAGAAGAGGCTCTTAATCATGTGGAGGCAGAGAGGCAACGGCGAGAGAAACTCAACCAACGGTTTTACGCATTGCGAGCAGTTGTACCAAATATTTCCAAGATGGATAAAGCATCCCTTTTGGGAGATGCCATTGCTTACATAACCGAACTGCAGAAGAAGTTGAAGGATATAGAGTTGGAGAAGGAAAAATTAGGAAATATATCACGAGAAGCAAAACCAAATTCTGAAAGGCAGGATCAACCTCCGAGCATTGACATTCAGTCCGTCCATGATGAAGTCATTGTAAGGGTGGGCTGTCCATTGGACGCCCATCCGGTATCAAGGGTCTATCAAGCAATCAAGGATGCAGAGGCAACCGTTGTTGAGTCAAAGATCGCCACAGGCAATGACCATGTTTTTCACACATTTGTTGTCAAGTCGCATGGATCAGAGCGAATAACTAAGGAAAAATTGATTGAAGCATTTTCCCGTGAGTCTAATCACTTTCAAGCATAGTATTGTCTTTAACAAAGGCTTAATGGGTAGTGCATCATTATGTGGAAATTGCCAGAAGTATTTTTGAAATACAGGAATTTATGTTAGGAATAGAAAAATAACTCTGTCTACTGAATAGGATAGCAATTCTATTACTGTTTATATGACACATTTTGTCGTGAAGAGTAATTTTGGAAGATAATATTAAATTATTATGTTTATAACTTGTTTGTTAAGAAGTTTATTTCTTTTTTACGTTCCTTAATGATCTTTCGGTGACAGTTTATATTTTGGATATTTTTGTTCATTCTGGATAATGGTCTCTCAGTATATCTATCGAAGAACGTAGTGGAATGCCGACGAAGGATTCCGTCTCACTCTAAGCCCCCGATTGACGTCCATTTTATAGATTTTTTTTTATGGAAAAATGAGTTTTGGAACAATGATTTTTTGAGAATGTGTTATTAAAAAATGGGAAAAATTATAGGTTTAGGTACATAATATTTTGTTGTGTGGACCTCTGGTTGAAAATAAATTTGAAGAAAAAAAGAGTTGATTTAATGGATGTCAAACAGTGGCGTAAAGAAAAAAAGGTTTTTTCAACCAACCAAACAGGGACATCAAGCATGACGTAGAAAAATGGTGTAAAAGTGGCATTATCCATTAAGGTAATGAATAGATAGATATGGAGAGGGAAAACTAGATTTTATTAAGCCAATTATGTTGAGGTTTTTGCTGTATTTGATAAGTTAGATTTAACATTGAAGTAACGATGATTTTGTTGTCGAACTATGTGGTAAAGAAAGACACGAGTTTATTTTATAAGTTTGGTTGAAAACAACTGTAACAATTGGTAAGGTAACATTGGGCATGCATTAGCATTTTCTTTTTAGATGAAAACGACTGGCACGTGGGAACAGGTGTGTGAACTCTTTGAAAACGTGTGGAACATGAGGTCCCTCCTAGATAAGATTCTTTCGTATGTAAATAAGGATTACTCGATATTGTCATGTCAATTTTTGATGCAACATGCTATTTGTGTAGCCAAATATGAAATAAATGAGAGCCTATCATTTTTGTTGCATGATCCTCGCGGCTCAGTGGTTGTCAACCGACAAAAGAAATAACATAGGATCATGCGGCAACGTGAATTGTATGGTAAACATTACTCCAAAAAATGAGAATTTATATATTATTTTAGAAGCTATCGAGTCGAGGGTCTCTCGAACATACTTGGCGAGGATATCCCGTATCTATTTGCTTGCTTAGTCATTGGAAAGTGAATGAAAATGCTCGTGCTCTAGCAAAGCATGTTTTTTTAACATCTGAATCGACCATTATCAGGGAGTCGAGATAGAATGAGGATTATACATTTAATTATATTATATTCTTTTTTACTTTTTAAATACGATGTAAATAGAAAAATATAAAATATAAAAAAAATCCAAAGTGAGTTCAGAGAATTTGTGGCGATGGTTATATTTTCCGTTCCTATCGTATAATGTTCGAGATAGAAACGAGGAATTTTCCCATTCCCACTCCAAGACCATGCTCTCGAAAGATTGGGTAGTCCAATCCTAATTTACATTTCAGTAAATAAGAAATAATTTATTTTAAAATCTACTTATTTACTGATAATGAAAAACTTACCCAAACACGGTCTTGTGGCCCTGTATCTTATAAAATCATAATTTTCCCAAGTAAAATTCGAATTTTACTGAAACTCGAAACTGCGAATACGTTCCGTTAAACATGAAAATTCATGGCAAATATTAACTAATCACCATTTTAGTTGAGATTTAAACCTAAAAACACTTGATTCTTAGGGTTATAAGAGTTTACAAATTACAATTTGCAGATTACAAGTCTCTAGTGGGTGAATCAATTTGCTAAGGAATTGCTAAACACTGCAACGATTTCATTTTCAAGGTCAGTTGGAATTATCATATGAATGAAATTCGATGTCAATTTTTGATCTTTGTTCAGAATGATGCTACTCTATAACTTGGCTATTTGCCAGTTTTTCAAGTGTTTGTGGATATGTGTGAATGAGAAAATTGGGAGTATTAACTTATTTTTGATCTTCCCTGTTCCCCTAATACTTACGTTGACTGCAATGCAGGCTCTGGAAATGATGTTTCTTCGTCGAGTTTCGTCTACACTTAAGCCTATGCAAAGGAGTAGGTTCTTCGGCAACAACAGCGGTTATGATTTTTCGAAAGCTATTCAAGAGCTTAACAAGGTATCTTTTCACGTGTTCTTGTGAGCCCTTTGTTTACTTTTTCTTTCATTCATCTAATATTCACATAAACACTTACTAAAGTGTATCAATTGTATATTATTTCAACAAAAGCTCATTCAGTTTCTATCCGTTACTAAACAAATTTTAGTTTTAAAGAAAACTCTAGATAGGAATGTAAACAGAGTAGAATTTGACAATTTTTGGAAAATTTTGATTACTGAAAAATAAATGGTACTACTATTTGTTATCTAAAACTTAACAAGTGGACATGATTCTCATGAAGTTCTTTGAACAAGACAATGGATTGAGAAAGTACATCAAATTGCGTTTAAAGTAAAAAGGAAGGAGTAATTCTATTTGAGGGGACTCTATAAATTGAGAGAACTACATTTATTTTGAGTTATTTGATAACATTGTAATTGGATGTAGGAAATGGAATCTGTGTTCGGTGAACCTCCAACATCTAGTCTTGCTGGTTCTATAGACAACCAAAGTATGGCTCAAGACTTAGAGTCTGCACCGACTTATGCGACACAAAGTATATCGTCGTCTGGCTTAACTCATATTGGCAGTAAAGGTGAAGCCCAAATGGTAGATATCTATCCCAAAGAGATAACGAACAGAGTGGCTGTTGCGAGTTGCAAAGTTATTCTAGATCGAAAGGTGTTTGATTTGGTTTCAGCCAACCAAATGGAAAAAGGAGATGTTCTTGGAGTAGCAAAAATTGCTGGAATTTGTGGTGCGAAACAAACGAGCAATCTTATTCCACTATGCCATAATATCAGTTTGTCACACGTTGCTTTGAATTTGACACTGAATCCTCGGGATCTTTGTGTGGAAATAGAAAGTGAAGCTGCTTCAACTGGAAAAACTGGGGTGGAGATGGAAGCCTTGACAGCGGTGACAATTGCTGGTCTAACAATATATGATATGTGCAAGGCTGCTTCAAAAGATATCCTCATTACAGATGTACGACTTGAAAGCAAAAGTGGTGGGAAAAGTGGGGATTGGTCAAGGAAGAAATGAATTTCCATAGCTGGGAATATCCTTCATAGAGATGTTCGTCGGTGACTTTTGTTGTCTAAATATGAAATGCATTTCCGCATTTATGTGCATTTTTCCTGTTAAGAATGGTGTAGTTTATGATACATTCTGTTTATTGTCTTGGTGTCGTATTTGTTTGGCTTTTCAGTGGACGTACTGGTTCATTGAATAAGATGCATCACTCTTATGGGGGTGAATTTGACACATTTATGTCCTAGCTCAAAGATTAACTTAATTATGGATTTGTCAGTTCTATAACTGACTTCGACTTTATTCGCATCACAGCGACATCAAGTTTTGTTGTTTTTATTTTTTATTTTTGGAGAACACATTTCTACTTTCTTTGTGTGTGTGTTTCTGTGCATTTTTCAAGAACACAGAGTAATGACATGTTTAGTACACAATGATCAAGTATACAAACAATACGACACCAGTATGCATTATGTATATTGAATGGAATAAATAAGGCAAGGATTATGTAAAATACTTTTAAAAGTTTATGGATAAGATAATAAAATTTTGTAGTCTTTAAATGGTTTTGGATGGTAACGGAACCTTTTTTCGATATTCTGCTAGAGCCCACAATGGGTATATGTTTCTGTAAGCTGCATAATGTAACATGCAATTCTTCATAAAAACTCCTGTGATTTCCTGCCAATGAATGAACAATATGATGATTAGTGATATAACAGTTGTAGTATGAAAAAACAAAATTAAGATAGGTACGCAGGATGCTTAGTTAAGTTTACCTGTTGGGGAAAATCACCATTTTCCAGCTGAGAGTTGATCAAAAGCTTTGCTGCTCTGTGGAGAGGGGTTGGATCTCTATCCGCCTGTCGAAATGGAAAACAAGGTGATTAATTTTGATGAAAGAAGAAGCAGTGTATAGTATATACAGTTTAATAATTCAAGGAAGAATATCAAAGAAGAAGGCAAACCTGGCCTGAATGAATAAGGCCCATCATAGCCCAGGCAGTGTGTACCAAGTTTGAGCGATTTCCTTCCAGAGGGACATATTCCTGTTCAATGAAACAAGTAAGGATATATTTCTTGTGTATATGCTCACTTTTTTTTTTTTTTTTTCATACGGTCCAAAGTGTGTACACAAACCTATAAATATAACGCCAAGTTTGGCAGGGAGAAAGTATTGAGGAAGAAAAAGAACTTAAATTTTGTTCATTATATTTGCCAATACTGAGTACGGAACATGCATTTACAGTATAAATATTCTGTAGATGGTAATAAGATTCTCTGTTGAGCAGTAGAAATTACCTTGTTTGGGCAGGAAAGAAAACTTTCTCCCCAGCCACCATTATCCCTCTGTGCTTTTAGTAGAAAATCAACACCTTTTCTAACTACTGGGCAATTCTTGTAGTTCCTTCCTGCTGCTGCTAGCCCTCCAAGAGCAAACCAGGAACCATATGTGAAGCAGACACCATAATTCCCATACCTGTACACATGTTTAAACATGTTATATAGACTGCCAAACAATGTTTAACTCTTTTATTTATTGCTAATTCATCAGAAGGAAAGTATACCATGAACCATCAGTCCTCTGGATGTCTTCAATGTATTTAACAGCCTTTGCAATGAAGTTTTCTCTCTCTTTCTTCCGGTGTTCAGGGTATAATTTCTTGAACAGAACAAGAGCTTGAATTGCTGATGAAGTGCATTCCACATACCTGCAGGATAAAACTCCCGTTAGGCTCATGCTAGATCAAACACGGGTTCCTCAGAAGGAAAAGGCAAAAGTGGATAATCTTACTCGTGTTCTATGACAATGTCCGCAAAAAACTCTGTAGGATTGAGCAACTGTAGTAAATGAAAAGCAGTTTTTAACTTATTTTTTGTTTCCGTAGTCACAGTACAGTTGAAACAGCTGAATACTGAATATTTTTGTTAAAATTCATGAACTTATGACAGAAGAAACTACCTCTAACCATTCTGAGGCTCCTGCAGGCTCCCATGCAGCTAAACCGCCATTTTTGCTCTGCAATTATTCATCAAAAAACATGTCAAGAGAGCTCTGGTTGTTATTCAGTGTGATTATAACAATAAAGGGTTCAGAAAAATAGCAAAGAAACATTTTCATCCATGTTAAGACTAAATTCATCCTCATCTAATAGCTTAATCTTTTAGATGAGGTGATTCGATATGGTATCAGCGAGCGAGCAAATGTTATGGGTTCAAATCTTCCTGCCACTTATCTTTGAGAATTATTCATGTGACAGGCTGCAGATAGAAAAATATGATTTTCTGGCTTGCATGTATGGAGGCATCTTGAATTTAAACGTATAACCTTTCTACCAACTTAAGCTTTTAGATGTGGTGGTTCAACAGTCCATCATATGGCACTTCTACCCTATGAATTAATGATCTATTTCAACATATTCATTCGTGGGTCTTAATTTACTAAGATACTGAAAGGCTGCGTACATCATATTCAATAGATGAGTTATACTAAGCTTTATGAAATATATGTAGTTGTATATATTGGTTACAGAGTTGACTAGAACTATGGGAAGAGTTGAATTCCTACCTGCAAGGAAATCAGTATGTTGACAGCATTGAAGAATCCTTCAGGCTCCATTTGCTCACCAACTATCTCAGCAGGCATCATTGAGAAGAGAAGGCAACACTGAAGAATTCGAAAGGAAAAGGAAAATCAATTATTATTTGAGAATTCAGTTTCATTTGATTTGTTTTGTTACTTTCTTGCAAAATTTCCAAATCAAATGAGCTTAGTTAAAGATGGAGACCTTTAACCCCTCTGCTGTGCAATCAGATACTTGCCATCCATGATCTTGATCTGAAAATGTCCACGATCCTTTCGAAATATGTCGATACATGCTTTTAAAGTCTCCAGAAGGGTCATCTTTCACCTGCAAGTATAGAGTGTGACTATATAGCTAAACAAAAAATGTATCTTTGGCACAAAGTATTGGATAAGGCTGAACAGAAAACAAACAGAATTCTAGTTTTTTAATCTTTAATATTGTCTAGTTCTATCCAATACTCTCTATCAAACATGCCGATAGATTCTATCCTAAGGTAGTGCTTTAATATTTGTTACCTGAGACTTTTTTATGAAATCATGCCCTTTCTTCAGAGTTTCTCCAATTTCATCGGTAAGATCACTAGCCAGCAGTGCTTGAATGGCAAAACCAGTATCCCATTCTTGACTGCCAAAACTCTGCATCAGAATGGTCATTGTAAATCTTAATTAACAATTCAAAACCAAATGCTTGAACTTCATCATATTCAAAAGTGGTAATTGCAATATTTAAAACATTTTTTTCTTGTAGATGCACATTAGTTTCAGATTTCTGTATTCTAAGCCTCATTATCTGCACATTTAGGTCGTGAAAAATTGGTTTGGCAAGGACTTAACCAAAGTTCATTTACCTGCATCTTCATTCCGTCTTCAGCTACCCACAAGTAATCTGGGATTCTAGCAAGGTGCTTCTTGAAATAATCCCCATTAGGATCCTCAGCCCAGCACGCCAGCATACACAACACTTTCTCCACACATCCTATGGTGATATATCTGCTATTTTCATCTTCATAGTGAATGTGTTGCATTGTGACTTGGAGAGATTTTTCTCTCAATTTGTTGAAAGGCCAACGATTCAAGAAAGGTTCTGTAAGTAAGTAACAACTGTCCCAAATCAAATCTTGTATCCATGGGTGAGGATAATACAGGTCCTCCTGCATTAATATTGTATAGTTTAGTGTTTAGATCAGGTATAAAACCACCTCGCAGGAAGTTGAATAGGTTTATTTTGTTCAATTTTCGTGAATGCGCACAGAATGTGCACAGATTTGACGTTAGGAGATGCTGTTTTTGTCATTGACTAGATTCTGTTGCCTAGTTTCTCGATCATCTACATCAGCTTTCATACAGTTTCATTGATGTTTGCATATTACTATCTGCGGAATAAAACTTCCTACGACAACTTACTTTTGCACAGGAGTGTCGTACTTTCCTCCAGTTGATTTCATTGTAGGGTTGATCATACAACTCTTCTCTCAGTTGTAGAACAAGTGACGTGATTGGACCAACAAATCTTTTGCCATATAAGTATGACATTGGCATGTAAACCATTCTGCAGTAGCACCACATCTTGGCTGCATTTTGTTTTAAGAATCATCATTAGCTGATAAACGCCAATTCCAATTAAGTGGATTTCCAGTTAATAGAACGGGGCAAACCTGGATGCATGGGAAGAAATGATGGAAGAATCCAAAATTCTGGGGGCATTGGGTTGCTTCCGGACCACTCAAATACTCCGAGTATCTGAAAACAAAAAAAAATTAGCATTAAGGTTTCATAATCCACAGGTAGAACCATTTCTTAATACTATAGAGAGCTATCTAATCCTCTTTACTGAAAGCCATGTCTTTCCCCATGAAGGTATTGCTTTAACAGTGCCATGGTCAAGTATCCATTTTCTTGCTCTAGCACAGGCATTGTTTTGCCCACCATCAGGTCCCTCTCCCAGTATACGCATGCAGATGTAACTGAGTGTTGTGCAGAACATTGTGCTATGCCCCTCTATGTGAAAACCCCAGCCACCATCTTCATTCTGTTATGTAGAAAAGGCCGTAAATCAATCATTGATATACTGTTGAATATATAACAGAAATTAGAGGTGTGTTTGATGGATATTATTTGGAAGAATGTATTTTGGAATAGTAGATTGATGGAGAATGTGGGGTTGAAAAAGAAGGAAAAATTATTGATGCGATGGAAAGTGTTATTTTATTGAAGAATGTGTGGTTGAAAATGAGTAGAAGAATGAGAATGAAAATTTTAATGGGTGTATCACCTGGTGACAGTATATGTAGCGTAGAATTTCTTTACAATGTTCTGCTGGAAAAATGGAGTTAAGATGGCCAGTAATATACATACACATGACCTGCATTTTCCAGACGAAGATTTTGCATCAGTGATATCTTCAATACTATAAATGTAAGAATACTGCCCAATATTTGTGAAGCCTGATTGTACAGTATCTTTACTTCTGGACTGTAGATCGACTTAATCTCTTTTTGGATATTTCTAATGTATAAAGGATTCTATGGGGGCAGTTTCATACGCTTGTTCTTCAAAAGTTGTAGCAGCTGGTGGATGTAGTTGTTGTGTGTCTACTTTGCTCGTATTTTTTTTATTTCGTTCTATGTTTTATTGCTCTCATAAGAAGAGATTAGGCCTTAGTCACTGAATGAGCTCAACAGTAAAGAATATAACAGTACTCACCAAAGGAGGAAGAAAAAACAATGGACCGGCATTTTCAGCCGGCCAGTGGCCATCGCTGGCTTGCAAGGCTGAGAAAAAATGGACCGCCCTCCGCAATGCAGTGCTGGCAGTTTCATAGGTAATTTCTTCGCCGTCAGCCAACTTTACTTGGGGTATTGTCTGTTCGAAATTCTTTTCTCGCAGAAACTGCATATAAATTTCATAACAAGGACAACGATAGTTAATATTCTTGTAAGTATTTCAAAGAAAAGATATTAGTATCATACTTTATTGAATATTATTAAATCATAAACCATAATTGTATAAATGGTTGAGAACTCAATTACTATTTCTGTGTAAAAGTAGATTATATATTGAGAAAATTTAGTCACTGGTAGAAAGAATTTAAGAACTTGTCCATAGCACTAAAGTTGGATTAAACAAATAATAAATGGAAAAAGAACTTCTCCATTGATGACACAGTCAAATAAAGTCTGATTAATTCATTGAAAGATTACAGAAACACCTTCACACTCCTGAAGAACTCATGAAAATAATCTATATTTTATGAATGATGGAGCACATATATCTTAGCAAAAGTTTTGAGGCTATGTCTAGAAGTTGGTTTTAGTGAGGAAAAGTGGACTAGAAAATAATTTGAAAAATGTTAAGAATATATTTAGTATGTAACGGTAGACCAAATACGAGTACTAGCATCCCATATTTTAATGTTATTGTACAAAACATTCATATTTTTCATTTTTTAAAAAAATTTCATCCTTAATTACACATTTAATTGCACAAACCGTTATTCCATCAATTTCTCCGTTAGTCAATCCGGGAAAAATCAATTTGACAATATTTTGATAAATTATAATTTTATATTTTCCCAATCAAATAATCAAAAAATTAAATAAGAAACAAAAAGAAAAATAATAAAAACAAAACAAAAAATAAAATTTGTTCAACTTTCTTCCCCACACTATCTCACCCCCACCCTACGCAACCCAAAATCCACAGCCACCACACGGCCAGGGACAGATGGAAGGGGGGGCCGGGCTGGGCCCCACCAACTGATTTTTTTTTTTAGTTAGAAAAAAAAAAAATTCGCGTGTAATTTTTTTTTTTTAAACGTATTAGCCCAACTTGTAATCTTGTCTTGGATCTGTCCCTGCACACGGCTGAAATTCCCAAAATCTTTGCCAACATTTCACCATCCCGTTAAACCTTCCAATGATAGCAGATGACTAGACGGAGTTTCTGAAAATGGTGGACGCTCCTTCATGCATTTTGTAAAACTTAATTGCAAGGTTGCATTTAGATTGACAGTGAAGTGTATGAGCAAGTGCAATGAAATGAAAAAGATCAAGTTTTATTATTCAGCTTGAATCATAAGCTAAAAAAAGACCTCATTAACTAGTACCCGACTGAAAATGGGCGGTCCAAGTCTTTCTGAAGCAGTAGCATTTCTCATCTGGGTTATAACAAACTTTAGTCATTGATCTCTAGTGTTTCTTCAAGGATTGTAGTACAGTCATTTGCTACGAGTGGAAGGTTTAATGGAATGGTGAAATGTTGGCGAAGATTGTGACGGCCGTGAATTATTGGTGTTGGTGACGGCATGTGGTGGCTGTGGATTTCGGGTGGTGTGGGGAAGAAAGTTGAATAGTTTCTCATTTTTTTGGTTTTTGGTTTTTGTGTAATTTTTTTGATTATTTTATTGGAGAATATAAATTTATAATCTTTCCCTCTTAAAATTAATCAAAATGTGGTCAAATTGATTTTTTTGGGTCGACCAATGGAGAAATTGACAGGAAATGGACAGAATGACAATTTGTGCAATCAAATGTATAAGAGTGAAAATGTCAAAAAATGAAAGATAGGAACGTTTTGCATAATAATATTGAAAGGTAAGGACGTTATGTACTAATTACCATTTCTTCAATATTGTACTATCTCTATATGTTGTCTAAAATATCCCATAAATATCATATTTGGAAACTTCAAATCTTGAACTTATGACTTGTGGTTTTCATGAAAATGTTCAAAACTACATATTTTCCACTTTGGGTGTTTACACGCAACTAAATAGGTAGGAAGTATCAATCTCTCTTGTAAGTCAATTAAAAACATGATAAGTAATATTAAGTTCACGTAAAATCAAGTGACACAAAAGAAGCTGAGGGGAAAGGTTTTAGACCATAAATATCATACTGGGAAACTTCAAATCTTGAACTTATGACTTTTGGTTTTCTTGAAAATGTTCAAAACTACACATTTTCCACTTTGGGTGTTTACACTCAACTAAATAGGTAGGAAGTATCAATCTCTCTTGTAAGTCAATTAAAAACATGATAAGTAATATTAAGTTCACGTAAAATCAAGTGACACAAAAGAAGCTGAGGGGAAAGGTTTTAGACCATAAATATCATACTGGGAAACTTCAAATCTTGAACTTATGACTTTTGGTTTTCTTGAAAATGTTCAAAACTACACATTTTCCACTTTGGGTGTTTACACGCAACTAAATAGGTAGGAAGTATCAATCTCTCTTGTAAGTCAATTAAAAACATGATAAGTAATATTAAGTTCACGTAAAATCAAGTGACACAAAAGAAGCTGAGGGGAAAGGTTTTAGACCATAAATATCATACTGGGAAACTTCAAATCTTGAACTTATGACTTTTGGTTTTCTTGAAAATGTTCAAAACTACACATTTTCCACTTTGGGTGTTTACACGCAACTAAATAGGTAGGAAGTATCAATCTCTCTTGTAAGTCAATTAAAAACATGATAAGTAATATTAAGTTCACGTAAAATCAAGTGACACAAAAGAAGCTGAGGGGAAAGGTTTTAGACCATAAATATCATACTGGGAAACTTCAAATCTTGAACTTATGACTTTTGGTTTTCTTGAAAATGTTCAAAACTACACATTTTCCACTTTGGGTGTTTACACGCAACTAAATAGGTAGGAAGTATCAATCTCTCTTGTAAGTCAATTAAAAACATGATAAGTAATATTAAGTTCACGTAAAATCAAGTGACACAAAAGAAGCTGAGGGGAAAGGTTTTAGACCATAAATATCATACTGGGAAACTTCAAATCTTGAACTTATGACTTTTGGTTTTCTTGAAAATGTTCAAAACTACACATTTTCCACTTCGGGTGTTAATTTACACGCAACTAAATAGGTAGGAATTATCAATCTCTCTTGTAAGTCAATTTAAAACATGATAAGTAATATTAAGGGTCCGTTTGATTGCAAGAGTGGAAAATAATTGGAAAGAAAATGAATTCCAGAGAAAATAACTGCCTAAAACTTATTTTTCAGGGAATTGTTAATTAAATATGTTTGATTGGTATAATTTTCCACCCGGAAATTTTTAAAATTTTGGATTTTCTTGTTCGTTTGGCTTTACATGAAAATTGTCCATTAAAGTGATGATTTTTTTCACAATTGGTTATAAAATTTGTTTCCATTGCCAAAAAAAAAAAAAAAAATCCCTAGAAATTTATTTTTTAATCAAAGTTTAGTATTCGTTTGACTTTGTTTTACATGAAAATTGACCGTTAAAGTGAATTTTCCTTTTTTACAATTGATTATAAAATTTGGTATCATTGTCAAAAAAATTAGAAAAAAAAAACTGGAAAATGAATTCCCACCAAGTTGGTGGGAACCCAAATTCCACAAAATCATTAAATTGGTGTGCGCGTGGACAAAAGCAAGAAAATCCGTTGCCAAAAAAATCCAGCCAATCAAACACTCATTTTTGGACAAAGATGGAATTCCATTTCCAATTCCATGGAAAGTTGGACAAATCAAACAGACCCTAAGTTCACGTAAAATTAAGTCTTGATTGAGACACAAAAGAAGCTGAGGGGATAGGTTTTAGACCTGAATCCGCCAGAGAAGATCACTGCTGGGCTTCACCTGGTGGCGGTTGTTCCAGAACTGCTGGCGGGCTCTTTTGACCTCCTCCTGGTGCTCCGGCGTTCCATAATCGGGGTCGAATTCCCAAGTTTGCCGTCCCACATAATTGTTTGTGCTATACAAATAAGGACTATCTACTCCTGCTGCAATCTTTAATCTCCACATAATTTTTTTTTTGCTTTAATTTCTCCTTTAATTCTAAGGGCTGCTGATGACTTTGTTATATCTCTTTTCTTGATGATCTGCAGGTTTTAAGCACAATATCAGTAGGTCCATAATACATGAACAGACTCAATGGCAACAAGCTATAGAAAAAGAGCATGTCTAACACGTGAGGAAGCCATGCATGGAGAGGGATGAAAGATTTTTAGGAGCAGAAAAAGAGATACCTGTTAATTGCAAAAATTAATGTACATGCATATATTACACTTTTGGCTCGATATATTCTTGAAATTGATCCAAAAGGTTTGGTCGAGAACCAATTTGTATCAAGAAAAAGTGGAAAAACACCAAATAGGAAGGCATAAAAGCATATGACGAAGTAAAGTAGATGGACTTTCCAGATAGATCACGTCTACATATATATATAGGTATACACTAATACACAGAGTGCTCCAACATAGCCCCTGTTTGACACCCATTTTTTTATCTCATTCTCATTCTCATTTTTCTACAGTACTCATTTCTAACCACACATTCTCCAAATAAAATAATATTACACATAAACCCAAAAATTCTTCTTACTTTTTAACCACACATTCTTTACATCAATCACTATTCAAAAACTCATTATTCAAAATAATGGGTGTCAAACGGGGGCATAGTATTGAACATAGTACTTGACATTATCTGGTAAGTTTTACTTTCGTTAACTTAACCCCTGTTTGACAACTATTATTTAGAAAAAACAATATTTTGAATAGTAATTTTTAGGAGAACGCGTGGTTAACAATTAAGGAAAATTTTTGAATTTATATGTACAATATTTTATTGTATGAATATGTAAAAAAAAATAAAAAATCAAATAATAGTCGTCAAACTGCGCTTAAACTTATTAATTGGGAATTGGTTATTTTTTTATTTTTTGACTTAACCATTTGGATTTTGGAGGTCAGCTTGTTATTTATAAAGATAATAATATATCTTCAAGTCAAAAATAGAGAGCTATGTATGGGGCCAATTGTGTCCAAGCTAGACTCAAAATCCAACTTATTTCAGTTCACCTAACAATAAAATGTTGAATAAACTTGCATTATTGATCCTAAGAATTTAATTTAGTGGGCTAGTGACGGTACAATACAATAAAATAATATTCTACTTATTTTTGTCATTTAATAGTGACTTTTAGAGGATTTATTTGAATGACAATATTTTTTAGTCCGACAGGAAAGTTTCAATATCATTGCTAAATCCAAGGCCAAGCATATTTTTATCTTAATATTCTTTAATTGAAACTCACTTCAGACAAAGTACATTGAAATGGATAATGTTTAGAGATTCATCAAAATGTAGAGGCTGGCGAGTCAGCAAAATCTGAACTTTTTCTCTCATTCTTTCTCCCATATGCTTTTTTTTTTTCCTCTATTAAATAAATTTGAGTTATAGACAAAACCCATTAGATATGAAATTTGAACTCGACGTCTATTCATTAGCATCAATGCCACGAGGAATGAAAATCTTTCTATTTATCTACTACATACACTGCAATCCATATAAAGCATTTGATATGTTCCTATTATGTGTTTGAGAGGGCATTTTGGGAGCTCAAAAGCACTTTGAGAAGGTCAAAGAAATACAGTTGTTTGGTCAGGTCCAAATAAGTGCATATTGACAAAAAAAAAAATGCTTTGCCTTTTGTACACTGCATTTATATACTTTGGTTGACACTTGCATTGTTGTCAACAATACATTGGATGAAAAAACTCTTTAAAATTAAAATGTCCAATTGGGTAATTGATAAGTGTAGTTTATACATTTATCCGTGACCCTAAATTATGATATTTTATTGTCTTTTGGATTAAATTTTATCTAATTTATGTTATATTATGTCTTGAGTACAATAAAAGAATTCGATCGAACACTACATTAGGTTGTGAATCTTGAATTAAGAATAAAGATGATCAATAGATGAAATTGTTATGCCCTAATATTCATAACATATTTGAATTTTCAATTATCGTGCAATTTTTTTATATTTTCAATTAGTCAAAAGTAGTTAGAAATAATCATCATAATTATTTACTTGCTTTTGTCAAATAGGAATTAGAAAAATTAGATTAAGATTAAAATATAGTCTTCGTGGGAACGATAATCCGGATTCAAAGGTTCACTATATTATTTGTTACGATATCATACACTGGAGATATAAAAAAAACGCAACAGTAATATCACGTGGCAAAATGTAAACAAAAGTGTAAATGTAGTAAGGTTGAAAAAAAAAATTAACTTTTTAGAGTTGTTAAAGAGAAGCTCCCCCTTTTGAGTTTTTTTGAAAAAGCTCTCTAATTTTAGCTTTTATGGAAAGCTGAGATTTACATTAATTATTCTTATTCATTAGTAAAACAACCGATTTTAATCTCTACCAAACAAGCTATTAATCTTGAGGTACTTTTTTTGTGGATAACTAAATAATTATTAGTTTTTTATAATAGCACATTTTGAAAGAGCTCTATTGCTAAAAGCTCTATTGACAATGCAGAAATATTGATGTATGGGCACTTGATAATTTCTATGCATCAATGAAGAAAAATCTTTATTATGATTGTCTTCACTGCACCCTCAAACTGTTTTCAGAGATAGATGATCGAAAATGCTATTTATCATTATGATGATAGAATATCAGTGATGTGATAGTCTATGTGAAATAATAAGATTAGACAGTTCAATTTTTATGAGAAAAGAGGGAGGAAAGATAGAGAGAATGTAAGGGATAATGGATCGTCACATCATCGATATTCCATCATTATGATGATAAATAGCATTACTCATAGATGATTCCCCACCAAGTTTTATGTGGAAATTAACTGATGTTTGGCTATAAAAATATATAAATAATATGAGATAAATGCGAAGAAAAAGGATTATAGTTTAGAAATGTATAAAAACTCTTTGAGGATCAATATCAAATTCTATAAAATAAATTTTTAGTTATTATTCTTGTTGATTATCTCAATCATACTAGTCATTTTTTGTTTAAGTAGCAAAAGTTTGTGCCGGTAATATCATTCAAGTACAATAGAGTGAAAAGGAGGAGGTAGAAGATTATAAAAGTTTGTGCCGATAATATCACTCTAAAGTTCGTTTGAATCTATCACATCTTTCAACAAATTCACGTCTTCTCAAACTTAGAATAGCAAGACCAAACATTTCTTTCCGTCATCCATTTCTTGATCATTTTGAAGACTGCTTAACCTTGATCCACAACTTGGAGAAGCCACTCCGTTTTCTACATACGACTATCAATATTGACGTTCAATGAGTGAAGTATCGTTGCATGAAATACTTGACAAGATGGAATATCATAGTATTAAATTTACATGTATGACCTTCTTTTGCTCCTTTATTTGAGACTCACCTTAAGGACAGTTTTGGCCCTTGGCCTTATTGATAAAAATGTGGAAACACCTTTGGCTCTATGGTGTACAAATATATTTAGGGATCTTGGTGTGTTATAAATATGTCTTAGTTCACATGCATAACAATTTTTTTAATCAAAGAAAAATCATACCGTTATCATATCTTTAGAAACCAATAAGAGCTCATATCATATCATTTGTACCGGAATGGTTATATCATCACATCATAGAATATCATATTATATCTTTAACTTTCATAAGTATAAAATTTCATCAACATGAAAGAAATATAATTTAAACGGGATAAATCAACTGCACCTCGTTTCCTACCTTGTTAACTTGCTTTAATTTTGGAAAACAAAACAAAAATCACGTTTCAACAATTCCTTTTTATGCCTCTGCTTTGT